TTGTTTTTAATCAATCAAAGACGGAGCATATCGATTGAAATACACATTTGGTAAGGAATTATAAGCAATAAAAGAACAAAATCTCGCTGAAGATAAGGGATAGTGCTGACAAATCACTTCCAATCATTACGCGCCCGGGCCGAGCAGCGTGAAAATATAAACAGATTTCGGATTTAAAACATACTTTCGTTAGATCCTTACATATTAACAAATATATATCGAAATTCTTTTGATATAATCGAAAGTTTAAGCTTACTTTTATAAAATTGCTTTACAGTCTGCAAAAATAATAAGCGGATGCACTTCGAAATTAAGGAACAACGCATCATAACATTAACTGAATAGATAATTAGATAATTTTAGCTTATACGTCCATTATAATAAAAGCGCACGCGAAAACGTATTCTGCACTTGCGCACTCATAATGCGCGTAAAAGGTCTTACGCGCACGCGTGAACGCCTCTGCGCAGTGTGCGCATGCGCAGAAAGTTTTAGTTTTGAGTCCGGATTATAGTCATTCCGAATTATGGGTGTCCGAATTAACGCTTTTGACTGTACTTCAATTTTTGTTAAAAAATTACTACACTATTTTCAAAAATTGCGGAGATAATTATTGCACATAGTTTTAATGTTATTATATTTTATATATTTTAAAGTATTGAATTTAATAAATTCTAATTCTTTTAAATGTTGGTAGGATGTTTTTAATCGAATTCATTTCAGTAATATTTTAATCTAATTAACGTTGCACAATGTTTTTATAGGGTGTTTTTATTCTCTTTTTTGCTATATGAAAGTAATAATAGCCTTACTTAGTACTTTATACTCATAGTAAATGTATTTATTTACACTTGCCTGCCAACTTAAAAACGACATTTTCAACAAAAATTAATCCATTACTTTAAACGATTTATTTTCTTTTAAGTTTCGAATACTTACTATGGCGTAAAAAGCGTTTTTCAAAATGGGACGATTGTCAAAATTGCGCCAACCGGAATCGCCAAATCCTGCAACCGTCTCCAAAGTAGCAACCAACGATTTACTTTTTTTTTTTCCCTTATTATATTTTTTTATGTAACATTTTCAAATTTTTTTTCATGATATCTAAATTATGATTCCGATTTTTTTGTGTGGTACTTATCATATAGGACAGGTTAAATACTTAAAAAAATGTAAGTACATATTTTCTTTTACTGTATAAATTGTTGCTCAATTTTTTATTAAAAAAAATAATACAGCTGTTCAAAATAGGAGATATTATTGCCTCGTATGTTTTAATGTTAAATAATTATATCCTATAAAACTCATTTTAAAGGATTTGAATTTAAGTAATATTTTAATTCTTTTAAAACGTGGTATGATGTTTTTAATTCGATATTAAGTAATATTTTAATCCAATTAAACGTTGGCGCAATGTTTTTTATTATATTTCTTTGCTGGTGAAAGTAATATTTAACCTTACTTTGTATTTATACTCATAGTAAATGTAATTTATTTACATTTGCCTGCCATCTTAAAAAACGACATTTTCAACAAAAAATTAATCCATTATTTTTAACGATATTTATTTTTTTAAAGTTTCGAATACCTTACTATGCGTAAAATACATAAAAACAGCGTTTTTCAAGATGGCTAACGATTGTAAAAACCGCGCCAACGTAAATCGCCACAAATCCCTGTAACCGTCTACCAAAGTCTGAAACATCGAAGGCTTTAGTAAATCGCTTTTGCTTTAGCTGAAATCATGGAATATAATGACTCCGTGATGACTTTATACTCCGTGGTTGAAATACAGTTGATCTAGCATTCTTTTTAGTAGTAAATATGGCTGCTGCCAAACCAAGCAAACATAGTGCTGGTTTTAAATGCAAAGTTATTTTGTTTGCGAAGGTAAATAAGAATGACGCTCTAGCAAGGTTGTTTGATATTGATGAATGGAAGAAGGATGAACGAAAAGGCTTATCCTAGAAGAAAATATTGGGAATTGGGGCTTGAAAATCGCCAGTAACAGCAGTTAGGTACATGTAGAAATCAATTTTTTGTATGCTTATCTTTTCCTTCTTTTTATATCTATTGTTTTTATAATGCGGCGTATACGCGCACCCGTAAATTTCGGTCTCCATTTTTTGTATTAAAAGTGCGCGTATATACGGTAAATAAATAATAAGTATTTCTGTTTTTTGACTATATCTGTCCAATATAGCGTCTTTTGTTTGCACTCAAATAGATTGTAAAAAGCTAATGAAAATTTACTGTTAATTGAAAAATGCCCGATAAGCATGAATCATGAATTCGGAAAAAAATTATAAACGATGTCAATAAAATCATATTTCATATGCAAAAGGACAGTTATGTTACTTCGAAAATAGTATCCTCAAGAAGAAGAAAAGTGACGCTATGAAAGGGTTAATTTAATTGTGTTGATCAAGACTGGAAATGTTAATTAGATTAATGATTGGAAATGTTATAATACAGATTCTTACTTACCCTTTTTTTACGTCTGTATCATAGCCTTGCATATGTCCAACTGCTAAATTATAGGCAGAATGAGGATGCCCTTGATCTGCAGCTTTCCTAAAAATATTAATAAAAACCAGGCGTATTGCACCTTGTTTAAGACTGTAATTATAAAGGTACTGGGTAGAGTAGACTTTAAGATACTCCTTGTATTATGACGAAGTTGTTTGATTTATTGCCAAGTTGTTGTTTCATTTATGGTAGCCTGAGTAGTTGAATGTTATGGAACCCTATGTGACATATCGGGTGCATGATTCTGGGAAATTTTGATCAGGGAGTTTGGAAAGCGTTTTTGTGGTGTGTGAAAACCTTTAGATGAATGATGGGTTTGTAGGAAGAAGGTTCAGATGGTCACTATGTGAAGCGTTCGATCAGAAAGAGTACTGGTTTGAAAATGTCATTTGAGTATGATTGATATTTTGATTTTTACGTGGCTCTGGGTGTATGAAGCGAACTCGAAAATCATGGTAAGTGAATATTTGCTTTGTAGTGCTTAAATGTATAACATGTTTTCCTTTTTTATGTTATTTTATTGTTTGGTTTAAAATGTATTTTATTGAGATTATGTATTTTTTGTTTGCCTATATTGTAGAATGGTGCTCCTTTGACTTTTTAGTGAAAATATATCGATGTGTACATGGAAAAGTAAAGGGAGTGCGCAATGCAAGTTTGTGCAATTCTGGGCTTTTTTTAAGTGAAAATAAGTGACGTGTACATGGATAAGTTAAAAGAGTACACAATGCCATTTTTGTGCAATTGGGGATTTTTTTTTTTTTAGTGAAAATAGGTCACGTGTACATGGTAAAGTCAAAGGATGCGTATGCTATTTGTTCAATTCGGCGGGGGTTAAGTGAAAATAAGTCAATGTGTACATGGATACCGAGTTTGTGCAATTGTTTGTCTTGTTATTTTGGCTTTGTGTAGCGGCGATTTTTAGCGCAAAAATCGCCGCTTCGCAAGCCAAAATAACTAGTCAAAGTATTGCACGAAATCGGTATCCATGTACCACCAAAAATCGCCAAGGGGTACCCTAAACTATACTTTTACCAGGTACTTTATTACAATAATAATAATAATACATAAGCACATATGTAAAATCTGTATTTGCTAAAACACCTTACAGCGTTCAATATATAGTCTTATTTATTTAAACAAATGAGAATAAAGCAAAAAATGCACTCAAGGCCATCAAAAGTCTAGAAAAGGTAAACCAAAAGAACATAAGATTGTATTCAGAGTTATAGCGAGTGGGCAGAGGCTCCAAAATAACTTTTTTTTTTTTTTTTTTTTTTTTTTTTTGTTTTGTTTTGTTTTGTTTTACGTTAAAATTACAATTTTTTTGATGTTAAAATGGTTTTCAGCTGTATTTTCCACCGTTTCGCAAGTCAGACCTTGGACGTACTAATGAATAATGATAAGGATAAAGTAAGAATAACCAAGAAAACTTATACGTTTGTAAGGTTATTGTTTACATTAAACAGTTATTTATTTATAATTTTCAACCTTTATTATAACTTCTGCTTTCCGTTTCTTCATCAGAATGTAAACGAGTTAGCTGGTATTTAAACTGAGGTTATTGGATTAAGTCCCAGAGAGTGTATTTGGCCTGCGCCTGCAAGCTACGTTTAGTTCCTGCCAGTTCTGATGATTGTAATTGGCTTGCGTTATTCTCCTGTCGATAATTTGATTTTGATGCTCCGCTTAGAATTACTGAGCCAGCTTAAAGTGTATTTAAATTGTGTAGCTTTTGACTACTATTTTATGTCTTAACTTGAATTTGACTGCACTTTTAGGTGCATCACCACAAACTGTGGTTGGTTTTGTTAGAAAAAGAAAGTGCGTTTATGTTCTAAAGCCTGTTTAAATAAAAAGATTATTTAAGCCTTTCCAATACTTTGTAGCTACCTTCAGACATAGCCATAATTCGCTTAATGTCTGTTAGGGAACTATCACCAGTTCCAGATCAAGTAAGTCGATACTGTATAAAGTCCGAAACCCGAACGCGCAATATCCAGAACTCTAGGAATTTTTTTTTAGAACTTTTTTTGCTAAAAAGGGAAGAATAATTAAATACCGAGAGTAAATTCTTCGCGTATGCGCAACCAGTGCAGGATTTACGTATAATACAATTACAGTTACGTATTATACAAGCTATATAGGGCCCTCAGGCGTCTTGGGGGCACCCCCAAAAAACAGACTTATAAAAGTCCCCATATCTCCAATAGCTTAGGACCGTATGAAGTCTAAATCCGGCTCTGTGCGCAGCAAAGATTTTTCCATAATAAAGTATGCGGAGAGTCCTGACTTTTAATCTCACTTTACGCACTGAATAAAACGTGGCCATATTAAAGAAACACAAACAAATGTTGAAAGGGAACATGTCCGGCCTGTGGACCCTTTTCTCCACTAAACACAGACAGCGAGGGGCGTCGTAGGTGAAACCTCTCGTTGTTGAAGAAGCCTATTGTTTTCTCTTATCGGGCAGTCTTTGAAAAAATTACATCATCCTTTTGCTTGTGTCTCTGTTTAGTTCGTTTTCCGGTTTAATTCAGATAACATGTTCCATACAAGCAGTGTGTCCTCATATGAAAGTGTTTTATGAACGCACATACGAAAACGTGGTGTTCGGAATGATGATAGTTACAAGCGGAATATTATTAACACATTACCGACCGGTAGCCTATTAATCGTCTTTTTATCGCCAACGCCTACCGACCGATAGCCCAGTGCTCCGCAACCTTTTCTCACCTGCGACGCACAAAAAATCTTTCTGGAATTTCGTGGCACACCAAAAGCTAATGTATATATATGTATTGATTTATACACAAAATTTACAATAAATTTTTGTTTTTAATTTGAAAAATATACAATTATAAAACCATAACATATTTATTTATATGCAATCATAATAATTATCAATGTGATACCTGCGCTTAAAAAAGTTATATATTTTTGAGTTCCGAGTTATCAAGAAAGTGCCGAAAAAATTCAAATGCTGACACACAATCACACACAACAGTGAAATATATAAAAACATTTAAAATAGACATTATTAAGGAAAAAAAATTGTCGTGTATTAAATACATGATAAAAAATTGCAAAATGTCAAATACATGTATTTGATTGCGGCACACCTATATCCTACTCATGGCACACCGGTTGCGGAGCACTGCGATAGCCTATTTATCGGCTTTTTTCGCCACCGCCTATGGACCGATAGCCTATTAATTGCTTTTTTCACGGGGCTACCTAAAAATAGCCTATCAATCGGTAGCCATGGCGATAAACAATTGCCATTTGCTATATCATCTGTATTAGCATTGAGGTCATTGCTCACTTGCGTTAAGTGCGTTGCTTGGTAAACTCCCACATTTTTCACACCGTTTAAAAAATAAAAAAAAAAAAAAAAAAAAAAATTACCGTTCACGATGAGCGAAAAAAATGGTACTGGAGAGCAGTGGCGGCTCGTGGCTAAAATTAGTGGGGATGCTGTTCCAAAAAAATTTAACCTTTGTTTTAAAATTGTCTAAAAGGAAACAAACATTTATAAAAAGAAAATTTATTTTGAAACTTCATGAAATCTTACAAGGAAAAAATTAAACATTTCTTAATTACTTGAACCAAAATTGTTATAGTTCAATGTTTGTCTGTTCATTTAAAAATGAAATCCATTCTTCTTGCTTTAATTTGCGCGAAAAGATCAATAATTTTCTCCTTGATCTCTGGATGACAACTGAGGAAATTTTTCTTTATTGAAAGCCACGCAAACGCATTTAGTCTTTCCGAATTCCTAGTACTTCTTAGAAAAGTTTTTAATGTTGAAAAGCAGCGTTCTGCCTCTGATGTAGTCATGGGAATTCTCAAGAGAATTTTTATCAGTTTCGTAATTTCACTAAAAACATCTAGAATATTTTCGATGATAAATTTCAGTAGCTCAATTAATTTGCAGTATTCATGGATATCAGACCTACAAGAGAATACTTATGGCTCAGTTCCAAGCTCTTTTTTTTTTTTTTTTTTTTTTTTTTTTTTTTTTTTTTTGTCAATCATTGGATATGCTTCAGTGGTCAGTACTATTTCTTCTGTAGAATGTTCATTCCTAAAACTAACGAAGCATTTCTTGTTTAACAATTTAGCAGCTGCTAAGTGTTTAGTGGAAGAATGTGCATTATATCAATACATAGTATAAAGTCACATATTTCCTTAGCTTCTGCCATCTGTGTCTTTCAAATATTCTCACAGTCCTTTGAGTTTCTTAATTCTAAAATAGCAGTTTTGAAAGTTGTTATATATTCGTTAACTTTAAACACACTAATTTCTCTGGATTGCATTTAGTTGTATATTATTTCAACATGAGGCATCTGATAAAAAAGCTCTAACCAAAACTGGAAATCATCACCATTTAGATATTTTAAAATTCCTGTTGCTTTTGCAATAGGAACAATTGTTTCATTTGTTGTTGTTGTTTTGCATTTGATGTTGATTGAATTTCAGTAAGGCAATTTTTTAAAGGTGCCAAATTTTCATGAACTCTGTTTATGTTCCGTATGATAAAATACCACACGCGTGGAGTAAAAAGAAATCACGTTTCCAACAACATGCCAGAATTTCGGCACTGCAAGAGCCGACAGTGCTATTCTCTCTGCCCGGCCCGCGTGCTGCTTTCTGGCATGCACAGAACACCACGTTGCTGGAACTGTGAAGCGCGCAATTCCAAAGACTTTTGTACCTTTCTCACAAAGTGGGGGATGGCTACTGACATTAAGCTTAAATATTATCTATTGTAAAAGTATAAAGAAAGAATTAAAGACTAAAGGGCACACTATATTAAATATTAAAAATAATAATTGGAAATACGGGGTGCTGCAGTTCCACAGTGCTTATTACGAGTCGCCACTGCTGGAGAGTTTTATTTAGACGATTTATCAGATTATCCTGACAGTTATTTAGAACCATAGACCTGTTATATTACAGCTCTATGTTTAGAACATGGAGAATCTGCGGCTGAGCGGCCAGTCGGACGTGCGTATGCTGTTGAACCGCTAGCGGTCGGTAAA